ATCCCAGGCAGTTGGCTTGAGGTTCGCTCAGCCTTCCCTCCTCCCGAGGTTGGTAAATTGAGTCCCCAGCTTTCTAGAGGCAGAGAACACCAAAAATGTTATTCTGTCATGGCAGGCCTTCCCTGTGGGTCTGACATTGTCCAGGCAAGCTGCTCTTTCTGTTAGAAAAAGGAGGCCTTTCACTGTTCAAGGAAAGTCAGTCTGTTTATTTAGTTTATCCCCAGGATTAATCAGCCCTGTTTACTCTGAGATGCTTAGTTTTAAAGCTGAACTTGTTCCTGGATTTTGCCTGCCCCTTTTCCTTAATTTCTGGCCTTGGGTCAGATAGAGAGATGGGGAGAAGGGTCCCACCATGGCATGATCCATTCCCCATTATTTTCCATGTCTGGTTGTCTGCCTTTTAAAGGGGCAATTCTCTGAGCCAAAGACAGGCCTTATATTGTAGCACGGTGATGCTTAAAAGAGCTAGAAACTTTGGGAAAGTTATATTTTTGGACTAGAACTCCATGAATCCCCCCCCAACCAGCATGATTCAGGGAGTTATCTTCCAGACAAATCACTTTTCTCAAGCCATGGTAGAATCTTAAAGAGTTTTACAGGATCAGGCTTTGAGTCTGCGCAGACTGATGATATACAGTCATGCCTCGCTTTATGACTGCCCTGCATTACGATGAAACCACATTACAATGATCTTTTAGTGATCGCAATTGCGATCGCAAAACGATGGTCTAAATGGGGTTTTTTCGCTTTGCGATGATCGGTTCCCTGTTTTGAGAACCGATTCTTTGCAAAATGACGATTTTAAAACAGCTAGTCAGCGGTTTCAAAATGACCACTGGGTAAACAAAATGGTTCCCCGCTGTTTTCTGGGATGGATTTTTCTGGGATCCTTGCAAGACAGGCAGCGAAAACGGCTGCCCTGTGGGTGAGTTTTGACCCAATTGGAACGCATTAAAGGGGTTTCAATGATTTTTTTTTCGCTTTATGATGTTTTCGCTTAACGGGGATTTTCCTGGAACGGATTATCGCCATTAAGCGAGGCACCACTGTACAGGTGGAGATGAAGTGGGCAAGATTTGGGATGAATAGAACAAATGGCTGGCAGGGATCTGAGTGGAAGGAGTCCTAGAATCATAGAATCATGAAGTCGGAAGGGGCCTGTAAGGCCATCGAGTCCAGTTGCCTGCTCAAAGCAGGCATCCAAATCAAAGGAGATCTGCCAGGGGGTGTGAAACATTCTGTGCAGTCAGAAAGCTAGCCCATCAGGGAATGTCCTGTTCTTTCGAACCATTCGCCTTAAAATGAACCATTTTTTTCGATTTATAGAGATTTAAATCTTTAAAACTCAGGACATAGTTCCAAAATTCTATAATTCCGCCCCTCCACCCATTAGAATTCCACTTAGTTATTCTGTTGCCTGCATGAATCAGAAGTGTCTTAACACCAGTCTTTTCTACAACGGCACAGCCAGTTCCATTTTGAGCCCTGTGAAACCAGGCCCGAAATAAGGAGGTTGGGGGTTTGAGTCTCCGCTGGGCCTCCTTGGCAGGGGGTCTGTGCTCGATGATCCAGACGGTTCCTTCCAGCAATGCACTTCTAAGGTTGTCATGTCATGTGAAGCCCAGCAGCTTGCTCATAAAATCATCCTGGATGTTGGGATACTTTTTTTTTGGTGCTACTGATAATAATTATTGCAAGCTATCAAATAGATTCTGACTGATGGTGGCCATTTATCCTCCAGCCTGCTTTGATCCAGGCTATGCTGGCAGGGTCTGAGGAATTCTCATTATTTCATACCTTTGCTGATGGTGTGGAAGCCGAGCCTGGACGCCCTGCACTGAGCAGAGGGTCAGACTAGATGGCATCTGAGAACCCTTCGAACTCAGAACTTTGATGATTCCTACCTGGATCCTTCTCTAGTTCCTTCCAATGCCCTTTGGTGCCCACTTCTGTTTGCTGCTACCCTTTCCCCCTTGCTCTCACTCATGCTTGGGCTGCCAGTTCATTTCCTTATTTCTTTACTTCTCTTCCTTATTATCGTATTTTCCCTGTGTATAAGACGCCCCCGTGTATAAAACGCTCCTCCCCACTTTTCTAATCCAAAATTAAGAAATCTAAGTGGGGCTTAGCAAGTGTAGGGGGAAAGGGATCAAAGCGCTGCAGGATCGCTTTGATCCCTGCTTTCCCCTCCACTTGTTTTGGTTCTCTCCTTAGCTTACTTCCATGTATAAGATGACCCTCAATTTTTAGACAAAAGTATAATCTTATACTATACATGGAAAAATATGGTGTATATCCACCATATCCAGTTTTTCTGGGAACACTTTGGCACCACTCCCAGTTCCAACCTTCTGCTTTTAGCCTGTAAGCAACCATTCGTTTGTTGACTTATGCAACCGAACAATTATCGACGGCTTCCTTCTTTACGGATTGTAAACCGGCCAGGGCGGGGACCTGTCCTCTTGGAACAAACAGCCTGTAGCCGGGCAGCCCACAAGTTAATTATTCGCCGGATTAAGGAAGCACTTCTTTAACTTTGACCTGGTTCTTCTGCCAGTCTATTTATTTATTCTTACTTATTTATATGCCACTTTTCTCCTAAACGGAGACCCAGGGCAGCATATACAGTAGAGTGTGTGTGTCTTTTTTTTTTAAGAATTAAAATATGCCAAGCTACAAATATTAAAACAGAATTGAATTCCCTGTACTGTATTATTAAAATGCAGTCCATTCTTTCTTATTGTATAATCCTGATTTTCAGTTCAAAGTTATTATTTCTCTTCATTTGCAGTTTCCCTGCTGTTGATAATAATCACTTGGCAGTCTTTTCTTTATCTCCTACCCCACTGATATTTAATTCATCTTCTAAATATATCTCCAAAAGAACTATTGGCTTGTTGCTCATTGTTGGGTTTCAGAATTCAAAAAGGCTCAGTTTTTGATAGACCAATAGCCCTTTAGCCTAGATGTTAAGAACATCAGAAGAGCCCTGTGCTGGATCAGGCCAATGGCCCCTCCAGTCCAGCTCACTGTATCTCCCAGTGGCCCCACCAGATGCCTCTGGGAGCCCCCGGGACCACTAGAGACCCTGTCTCCATTGCATCTGGCCTGAAGATTATATACATCCCCATCATGGCTCATCCCCTGCGATGGAACTTTTCCTCCAGAGGAGTTCTTGGTTATTAGTAAAGTGGAAAGGCAAACAGTTGTATTTACAGTGGTGCCTCGCTTAACGGGCGCTCTGTTTAGCGATGAAGTCGCTTAGCAATGACTTTTTTGGAGTGTTTTTGCGCTTCGTTTAGCAATGGTCCTTATGGGCGATTTTTCGCTTAGCGATGGTTGGGACCATGCTTCGCATAGCGATTAAATTTTGGGTCCCCTGTTTCGCGTAACGATGGTTTAAACAGCCTCATGTTTGCTGTTTTTTAAATGTTTTTCTGTTATTTATAAAGTTAAAGTTTACTGTTTAAAATGTTTGAAATCATAAAGTGCACTTAATAAGCCCTTTGTTAACCAAATTTGACTTTGTTCTGACTCTTTTTTAATTTGTTGTTTTATTTTTTCCCCCCATTGAGATGCATTGAATAGGTTTCAATGCATTTCAATTGTGGAACCGCGTTTCGCTTAGCAGTGTTTCCTATGGCGATTTTCGCTTAAGGACGGCATTTTGTTCCTATGGGAACGGATTATCCGGTTTTCAATGCATTTCAATGGGAAACCGCATTTCGCTTAGCGATGAAATCGCTTAGCAGCGATTTTTTCGGAACGAATTAACATCGCTAAGCGAGGCACCACTGTATGTCTCTTGGTCAAACCTCAGGACAGGAGGGGTGTGGAGTGGTTTTTCTCCACCTGCTCCCTCCAGAAGTGTAAGACTGTAATTCCCACCATCCCCACCAGCATGGGGACGATGGAGCTCTGTAGTTAACCAGTTGGAAACCACCGGGTCAAAGGAAGCTGCTGGATCTTTTCTCTAGCTTACCAGCAAAGGGTGGTGCTTTCATGGCCCAGATTTACTCCCTTCCATCTCTGGTTGCAGGGTCTCAGGTGGGTCGGGAAAATAACCCGAAAATAACTCGGATATCCCTGGGCATTCCGTTCCTAGTCCGGAAAATAAGCGACAGCGGGCAATGAATATGGGTTGATCATGCATTGTGTCCATTGCACGGTGCAAGCGTAGAAAGAGAGCAATCTTTTTGAGGGAGCCAAGGAAGGACCAAAGAGAGTTTATTCCTAAAACTGAAGTGTCTCCTTTCTCCATCTACTTGAACCCTCTCTGTGTTGAGAGGAGAGGATCTCCTGGGGGGAAGAAATGCCTGTTGCCATAGAAAGTTGTAGTTCCTTAGTGGTAATTAGTAGTGATGTGCTGCCAGGGGAATTCTGGAAATTTTTTGTAATCCAAAAATACAAGCTTGCATATTCTGAGAATCATCCGCCACCTTATGCATCTTTTCTCACCTCTCAAGTGATGGGTTTTGCCTCAGTGCAGGGCGTTCTGCTCCGAAATCTGTTGAAAAGTTGGGATAACGGTAAACCTTCATACTATAGAGATGTCTGGTAAAGTGCCGTAGACTTATTGCTGACCGTCTGGCTGTGCCACGGGAATAACTACTCTGGAAATCTGTAGCTAAATAAAAAGAGGAAGCTTGTGGCTTTTGCTTAAGGAAAGCTCTTCGAGCGACGTAGTCACGGAAGCCAAGAAATCGGAGACCTGCTTGCAGCTCTAGTCGCCTATTACAAAGAAGCAATCCGAATCGTCGTAATGAGGAGGAAGCAACACCAGGGCATGACATCAGGGAGAGAAGGGAGCCTACCAATCTACCTGTAGATCTAGAGAAGAGAGGAGGGGAAAATAGACTTGGGCAGTCCATTTCTAACATGTTGTGTTTGTTCTTTCTTTCTCTCTCTCTCTCTTTCTCTCCACCGCTAGTGTAGGTTGGTTCTCTCCATTTCTAACATGTTGTGTTAGTTCTCTCTCTCTCTCTTTCTCTCTTTTACAGGTTTTGTGGTGGGCCAGGCTGGATTGTATCAGTCCCTTGGCATGTTCCTTGTTGCCTATTTTATCATTGGAATGACGGTCTTATCGGTGTGTGCCATCTCCACCAACGGAGCCTTAGACGCTGGTGGCGCCTACTGTATCCTTCCTGTGCAAACAAATGAAAAAGCTCTCAGCTGGCTGCGGGCTGAAAGTCCATCCAGATCAGCAACTGCTTTCATCGCTCACCCTTCCAGAGCAGGTCCCAACCCCTTTGACCCCTTCACTCCCCAAACCGAACACAGAACCACATTTAGAAGAAAAAGCAACAACTTTCCTTCCCTTTATTTGAACCTAAGCTTTTCCCTTTTAAAAATTTCCCCTCTTTCCCCTTACCTTGAATTGACAAAATGGCAAACTTTGTTTAAGGTTGATCTGCCGTTATCCAGACGTCCTTCCTGTGATCATGGGGTTTATTTCTTTCTTGGTTACATTTTCTGCCCTGCTTTTTCCCGACGAATCAAAGATAATGCGACCCTACAACGACCCTAGGAGGCAGTACAGACAGGGAAGTTTGAACCTGGGTGTCTTCAGGCCTCATCCAGCACTCTAACCACTAGGTGGCCCTGCTGTCCCCTTGCTCTGATGTCACAAGGTCTCCTACTCCTTGACCAGCCCCATGCAGATATGATCAGCCGGGCTTTGGGGCCAGAGTTTGGGGGCAGTATCGGGATCATGTTCTTCTTGGCCAATGTCTGTGGGAGCGCCCTCTACATTCTGGGGCTGGTGGAAGCCGTTGTCGATGACTTTGGAGCCCCCGCAGGTAAGTGCTGTGTGAGTTTGGTCTTGTGGATCCCCCACCTTGTCTGTCTCCCTGGGGAAAGTTTGCTTGGCAGGTTAGACGAGCAAGGAAGCCATAGCAAGGAAGGATCGTATCTCCCCATACGAGCCTTTTTGACTCTTTAAGATCATCAGAGGAGGCTCTCCTCTCAGTCTCATTGCTTTCACTAGAGATGGGCACGAACACAGTTCGTGGCGGTTCATCCCATGGACGAACGGGTCTTGCGTGGCTCCCAGCCTGCCTCCCTCGCGGGGACCCACTCAGAAGGAGTGCCACGGCTTCCCTGCCTTGCCTCCTCCGGGTCCTGCCTCTGAGTGGGCACCCACCGAAGGAGGCGGGGTCTGGGAGCTGCCGAATGCCCATTCGTCCAAAGCACGAACCAGCACGAACCACCGAACTGGTTTGTGCCCATCTCTAGCCATCACAGGTACGCTTGACGGGAACCCAAGAGAGAGCCTTCTCAGTGGCTGTTCTGAGATTGTGGAATGCTCTCTCTCCCCTGGGGAGACTAGGTTGAGCCCCTCTTCCTTTCCTCCTTCCACTGACGGTTAAAGACCCACTTTTTTTTAGTTTAAAATTTAAAATGAAGCCCCTGGATGCTGTTTTTGATACTTTTCAGTTTATTTTTTAAAGTGAATGCTTTTAATCTGGTGACTTTTTATTATTATGAGGATGCTAGTTTAAATTCTTTTCTAATGTGTTATTTATTGTCTTTCAGTTTTATTTGTTTTAACCTTGTGAGTCGCCTTGAGTCCTCTTATGGGGAGAAATATGCCTTATAAATGGGACTAAATAAAATAAATTGGATACCTAAATAATTAAAGGGAGAGGCTGATGCCGCTTCTAAGCCTGAATCAAGACCATGCAAGCAATGGGCTTTTTCATCTTCCTGTGATAGTCTAGGGAAGAGGAGAAACAATAACATACTAAAACCATGCAAGCAATGGGCTTTTTCAGCTTCCTGTGATTGTCTTCCCTGGTAGTAAATTCAGATTTCTTAAAGATGGTAAGATAGGTGCGTTGTAAGTCACCTCTCTTCTACCCATCTCAGTATTCTTTTTACTATTTTCTGCCTTCCAGGTTTAAGTTCTCGTTTCAATAGATTTCTTAAAGATGGTAAGATAGGTGTGTTGTAAGTCACCTCTCTTCTACCCATCTCTGTCTAATTGTACAGCTTTTATACAATTTTGTACTCAGTACCATCGGTATATTTTATATTACATCAGCCGAGAGGCTTCATAACTTCAGCTTGCTTTGTCTGTGTTTATATTAGGTTTTCACCGAACCACTGAGGTTCTGTCCACAAAAATTAAACTTTCTACAGCTTCCAGGCATCTTCAGGCCTAAGCATTTAATGAAAGCATTAACTATCCAATTAACTTTGATACGAGAAACCTGCATGTTATGCCTTAGAAACACGTTATGCCTCTTGGATCGTCTCCAAAACATAGACAAAAAAAAAAGCCTTATCCTACCACAGAGTTTTCTATGAGAAAAAGGAACATCTTATTTTTTTTCTTACTGGTTCTCATTAAAGAACTGCGCTTACGTCCTCTACCAATGTGTTTAATTTTAGTTTAAAAATTTTTTAGGGGGGTGCTTCTCAATTTTTCAAGAACGACTTCTCGCTTTCTGGGTCAAAAGCATGACATATTCTTGTTTATAAGTGTTGGCAAAAGAGAAATCATTTGCAGAAAAGAATAAGGCAATCCTTTATAAGATCATGATCTTATTACCAGGGATGGGATTTTAGTTTTTGTTTTTTTTTTGAATGGCAGCACCCACAGGTCTGCTGGAATTGCCCCGGCTAGAATTCTGGGGTTTTTGAGCTCCCACCACCAAGCCCTTCAATATTTGATAAAACTTACAACTGGTGTATAAATGAGAAAAGATCTCTCTATTTCTGAGTTCCGAGGCAAAGGGAAACTCATTGGGTGACGCTTAATCTCCGTGGCACTGCAAAGCATTAAGGGTATTGTAGTTTCTTGAGAGACATCCTGTATAAAGTGTGATAACCTTTGATCTGCGGAGCTGAAAGGGACTCTAAAGATCATCTAGTCTAGCCCCGTCATGGAGGCACTGTGCGGGAATCAAACTCTCAACCTCCGGCTCCGTAGAGGTTGAGAGTGTGATTCCTCCATGGTGGGACCTCGACCCCTGAACTACCCAGCTGGTGATTTACAGGAATACAGTCGTGCCCCGCTTTCTGATTACCCCACATTACGACGAATCCGCTTCACAACGTTTTTGTGATCGCTTTTGCGATTGCAAAACGTTGGTCTAAATGGGGGAATTTCGCTTAGCGATGATCGGGAACCGATCTTCGCTTTACGATGATCAAAAACAGCTGATTGTTGGGTTTTCAAAATGGCCGCTGGGTGCTTAAAATGGCTCCCTGCTGTGCTTAGGGACGGATTCCTCGCTATACAGGCACCGAAAATGGCCGCCGTATGGAGGATCTTCGCTGGACGGTGAGTTTTTAGCCCATTGGAACACATTGAACGGTTTTCAATGCGTTTCAGCGGGTTTTTTATTTTCGCTTTACGACGTTTTCGCTTAACAGCAATTTTCCTGGAACGGATTATCGACGTTAAGCAAGGCACCACTGTAAACGATGTCTGTAATTTTAAATTGTACAATGCTCTGAAAGGGAAGGGGGGGAAAAGCAGACTTCTGGATCTTTTTGTTCCAAAAAAATACAAAATCACCACCCAACTTGAGGTTTAATATGTGGAGCCGGGTCATCGCAGCTGCCAGTGGTTCAGGTCTGTCTTTGGGGGTTTTGCTGTTTGGACCGTCACCATGCGCGCCTGCATTTCATGTTTGCTGCTACCTGTAGGTGTGTCGGTTTCTGTGTAGGGAAACCTAATACTTTTCTCTGTTTCCCTGGTAGAGGGTGGCCCCCACACCTCCCTCCAGGTCCTTCCCCGTGGCTACTTCTTCGAGGTGCTCTACGGCACCATCCTGCTGCTCCTTTGCCTGCTGGTCTGCCTGGTGGGCGCCGGGATCTACGCCAAGGCCACCTTCCTCATCTTCCTCATTGTGATGGTGGTGCTGGCCACGGTCTGCCTCAGTTTCTTCATCGTGAAGCCTCTCGTGGTGCCGCTTCCTCCCGGCAACGGCGGCAACTTCACGGACCGCACGAATGCCTCTTTCACGGGCTTTAGGCTCAGCACCTTGCTAGCCAACCTTCCGGGTGAGTAGCCGTCAGTCTTTCTGTGCTGTGGAAATGGGATGGCGTGGCCCCGCAGTTAGGGTGTTCAACGCTGGGGAAGGTTTTTATTTTTTGGGTTACCCCTCTTGGTATCCCCCCACCCAGCATGGCCAAGAGGATGCTGGGGGTTGTAGTCCATAAAAGGAACTTTCTAAAACTCTTTAAAGCACTTTGCAAGATGAATTGGGGCCCAAGGAGGGTGATGTGAGGGGTGCAGGTGGATAGCCGAAGGGGCCGCTGGGTTTATGCTGAGTGACATTTTGAGTGGCCTGGGAGGTGGCCCTTTTCTTCCCCGGCTTCCAAGGAGCACTAGATGATGCATGTGACTCCCTTACCCATTTTCAGCTCTGGTTGGGCCTCCCCTTAAGTACTGTGTCCAGTTCTGGACACAGCACTTTACGGAGGATGCCAATAAATGAGCAAGTTCAGAGGAGGGCAAGAAGGATGGATGATCAGGGGACCAAACCCTAGGAGGAAAGACTGAAGGAACTGGACATGTTTAGCCTTGAGAAAAGAAGACGGAGGGGTGAGCGGAGAGCACTTCCCAAAGACTTGAAAGGCTATCCTACAGAGAAGGGGCAGGATCCGTTCTCCATCATCCCAGAGTGCAGGACATGTAAGGATGGGCTCAAGCTCCAGGAAGCCAGATTTCAGTTGAACGCCCGGAAAAACTTCCTGACTGTTAGAGCAGTACGACAATAGAACCCATGACCTCGCGAGGTGGTGAGCGCTCCAGCGCTGGAGTCATTCAAACGAAAATTGGACCACCGTCTGTCTAAGCGGCTTTGATGTGGATCCCTGCCTTGAGCTGGGGGTTGGACTCAGTGGCCTTTAGGGTCCCCTTTCAACTCAATTATTCGATGACTCTGTCATCTCCACAACAGTCTTGTGGTGTAGGTTAGGATTTGAAAACCACATCTGCCAAAACAGGTGCCTGGTGAGAGCTTCGTGGTGATGTTAAGCTGGATCTTCTCACCCTGGGCCAGTGCCCGACTTATGGCAGGCAAGGCTGTTGTTCTGGAGCCGTCAAGTGGCTTTGGACTAACTCTGACCTTCTCAATGAATGGCCCTTCAGAGGGTCCCGTAACTAACAGCCCTGCTCAGGGCTTGCAAACCCTAAGGCCAGCCTCCAGCACACAAAGCAGGGGGTGTACTGCTGAGTTCCTAAGCTTCGAAAATGAGACAAGATGGGTGCTTTTATGGTGATGATCCACCTCCATGAGCCTACCCAAGTGTTAAGATACTCAGGAGAGCCTTTTCTCTCAGCCTCACATGTGCTCTCACAGATGTGTTTTTGTGGAGAAATGGGAGAGGGCCTTCTTGGTGGCTGCTCCCAGAGACTCTGGAACTCCCTCCCACTGGAGGCCAAACTGGCCCCATCTTTGCTGTCCTTCCGCAAGCAGGCAAAGACACTTCCTCTTCAGACAGGCTTTCTCTGAGTGACTGGCTTTCTGAAGTGATTTTTTGTCTACTACTATGGATATTTTTATTTAATTCTCTTTAAATATTTGAATCACTTTGTTCTGAGTTTTCAGATATGGTCGGTTTTAACGATGACACCCACTGTGGGTCCTGGTGTTTTTGTTTTTAAGGACAAAGGCGAGATAAAAAATATTTTAAATAAAGCCAATACATAAAATGACCATCTTGGCAAACTGTGCACCGGGTTCGAGGAAGCGGCTGGCCTGGCTCTATAGGGTGGATCCTGCAGAGGTCGGATCGTCGTGGGGCAGGTGGCCATTTGCCGCCGACGGAGAGGAGGCCCTTGAGCTCTTGTGCAAAGGGAGAGGCGCTCCCCGTAGGCGCACCTGTGGCGACTCCCTCTTGCTTCGTGGGTCAGAGGAGCCCTTCCTTCCTAGGCAGTGGTGCCTCCTTAGAGCCATGATTTATGTGCCTCTTCTGTGCACCTCTCTCTCACTGGAGTGAAACCAACTTCTGAACCTGCATCTCTGCTTTCCGTTCCCCCCTCCGGCTCTCCGCAGCTGCCTACAGCGTGGATTACACGACGGGCCGCCTGATGAGCTTCAGCACGGTCTTCGCTGTCATGTTCAACGGCTGTACGGGAATCATGGCCGGCTCGAACATGTCAGGTGAGTGCGAATTTGCAGGGTTCGGCAAGGCGGGAGACGGGCCAGAGCGTTCCTCCTACGAGAGGAACGGGCTGAGCCGGCAGATGGACCTTCCGCCTCTCTGATCAGCCTCTCCTCCCTTCCTTCAGGGGATCTCAAGCAGCCCAGTTACTCCATTCCTCGGGGCACCATCATGGCCGTGGTGTTCACCTACCTCGTTTACAACTTGCTGGCGGTGCTGCTCAGCTGGACCTGCGACAGGTACGCATGGGATCGACCGCCAGGGGGCGCTCCCGCCCCACAACTCTTGGAACAAACTTTAAAAGCGAAAGACTTAGGTAGCCGTCCGACGGTCTTTCTGGTTTTCTCATCCTCGCAACGTGCCCTTTACGATAATCTGGCACTCATTCCCATTTTAAAAACCGAGGCACTGGCGTGATTTATTTCTAGGCTTACCTTGGGCTGAGGAAGGTTCAGGTTACTTCCTGCTACGGAACCTCCCTTGCAACTTTGCAGTAAAGAGGAATCAATATCTGGAATTTTAAGCCCGTTTTCTTGGAGCCGGAGAATTGAGTGGCAAAAGTTCTTCTGTCGATGGTATGGGTTCAAGCTGCAGATTGGGGCTGTGCCTCAGAAATTTTGAATGCCAATAAATAAATAAATAAATAAATAAATCCCTGCAAAAAGAAAGGCAGTATTTCAGGGATTCTTTCTTAGTTTTCTCCCTGAAGTGCTACTTTTCCAATTGCACAGAATCTTTCCTGTATTTTCTTGTACCATTTCACTCGCTACCCTCTTCTCCTGCCTCTTCAAAAGAATATGCCATTGCAATGTTGTAACAGCCCTAGCAAGGTATTCTTCCCTCTCTTCTTTTTAAGGATGTATTTTAGAGTTCTGTTTGTTTGTTTTCATTGTGCCCTCTAAGGCTATGAGCTCCTGCATTTTCAGAATGGAATTAAATTGGTCTTTTTGCTATGTCTAGAGTTTTGGGTTGAAATCTGACTTAAGGATTTGCCTGGTACTTAGGTTTAGTTTTCTTTTATTTTAGCATCCCTGCCTGTAGTTTTCACGTAGCTGTTAAGGCATTGGGATGTTTTTCAACAACTTTGAAGTATTTTTTGTGCATATGGAATGTAGAAGCCATGTAATAAAGCTTGTAGAATCAAACAAGCTGATGTTCCTTAGAATTATTGCAGCACTAAAAAGACTTACACCTTGATACTCAGATGAATTTTTTTCCATGACTGCAAATTGTTGTCTGGTTTCACTTTGGAATTAACCCTTTTTTCTGGGATAAATACCAGCAGTGACAAACACAGGCATCTAATTTATTTTCTGTTTTTGTTCTTACGTGCCATCAGTTCGCCCCCAACCTATGGTGACCAGATATGAATGAGCGATTGCTCTAATGTCCTGCCTTCCCTGCTCAGGGCTTGCAAACTAAAGCCCGTGGCTTCCTTGAGGGAGTCAGTCCATCTTTAGTTTTCTTTTATTTTAGCATCCCTGCCTGTAGTTTTCACGTAGCTGTTAAGGCATTGGGATGTTTTTCAACAACTTTGAAGTATTTTTTGTGCATATGGAATGTAGAAGCCATGTAGGTAAATAAAGCTTGTAGAATCAGACAAGCTGATGTTGCTTAGAATTATTGCAGCACTAAAAAGACTTACACCATGATACTCAGATGAATTTTTCCATGACTGCAAATTGTTGTCTGTTTTCACTTTGGAATTAACCCTTTTTTTTCTGGGATAAATGCCAGTGGTGACAAACACAGGCATCTATTTTTTTTTCTGTTTTTCTTGTTACGTGCCATCAGTTCGCCCCCAACCTATGGTGACCAGATATGAATGAGCGATTGCTCTAATGTCCTGCCTTCCCTGCTCAGGGCTTGCAAACTAAAGCCCGTGGCTTCCTTGAGGGAAGTTTTTCCATAGTCATGATTTTCGTTCTTCTTAGCATTAAACGGCAGTCCTCCTCTGGCCTTTTCTTCTTTTACCTTCTCTAAAAATCAGTTCTGTTCATGCCAACAAAGGTCTGCATAGTCAAAGCTATGGTTTTTTCAGTAGTGATGTATGGAAGTGAGAGCTGGACCATAAAGAAG